TGCTTACTTCTTCCCCCCGACCTATGACGGTACGAACTGCACGAGATGCTGTCGACAAGAGGAGGTCTGTGTGTGTGTGTGTGTGTGTGTGTGTGTGTGTGTGTGTGTGTGTGTGGGTGTGCGTGTGCGTGTGCGTGTGCCTGCGAGTGTGCGAGCGAGTGTGCGAGCACGTGTGCGTGTGCGACTGTGTGGGTGTGTGTGTGCGGGTGGGTGTGTGTGTGTGTGTGTGTGCATTTGTGTGTGTATTTGTGTGTGTATGTGTGTGTATTTGTGTGTGCGTGTGTGTGTGTGTGTGTGTGTATGTGTGTGTATTTGTGTGTGTATTTGTGTGTGTATTTGTGTGTGTGTGTGTGTGTGTTTGTTTGTTTGTTTGTGTGTGTGTGTATTTGTGTGTATTTGTGTGTGTATTTGTGTGTGTATTTGTGTGTGTATTTGTGTGTGTATTTGTGTGTGTGTATTTGTGTGTGTGTATTTGTGTGATATATGTATGTATGTATGTATGTATGTATGTATGTATGTATACGTATATGTATGTATGTATGTATGTATGTATGTATGTATGTATGTATGTAAACGTGTGTATATATATATATGTGTGTGTGTGCATGTATGTGTTCGCATCTGCATGCATGCACGTATGTAGGTAAGTACGGATATGTGCATGGGCGTGTACGTATATGTGCGGTGGCGTGTATGCTTGTAAGCTGCATGTATGTATGTATGCATGTATGTACGTATGCGTGTATGCGTGTATGTATGTGCGCATGCTTGCATGAGAGTGTGCATGTATGCATGCATGCATGCATGTATGTATGTCTAACTATTTGCATGTCTCCGAGCTTCCCTGCTGCTGTACCTAAGAGTAAGTATTCTATGTCCAAAGCTTTTGACCGTCTTTTGCATGTCTTGGCTGGCAGCTGCGTAGTTTCCCATAGCAGGGTTTGGGCGGGCTTGTGGCCGACACAAAGCATACAGGCAAGTGGCGGCTTGGGCTGCTGGTTGCTGCCGTTGCTGTTGCTTGTTGCTGCTTGCTTGCGAAAGGCTTCAACCAAACACAAGAAATCCTCCCTGATTGTATTACCATTTCCGCAACAGTTGCGCAATCCACAAAGCCGAGAAGGCAGCAAGCCAGGCAAAGAAGCACAGATTCAAAACGACTCCATATATGATTATACATGTATATATATATATATATAGACAGGTATGTAGAATCATCCACGAAAACCTACTTCCAGGCAGTGGAGCAAATGAGACCAAGAAGCCACGGCTTCGTGAGCCATCTTCTCCACCATTTGCCTTAGGAACAAGAAATATGAAGCAAACATAAGCATAAATAGCAAATCGACGATACTGCACTATAGTTTGTTAAATATGCTGCCGGTTCATACAATGTGCAGGACCTTATTTTCATCATTTTCCATCATGATCATGACTATGTCATATCATTCACCTCTTTTAGCATGGTCCCCTTGACATCCTGATGTCCTTAAGCTCATTTCTTACCAGCTCCAAGATGCGAATCCTTCAGGAGATCCTCGTAGTAAGCGTCCAAGGCCTGGCCAGAAGTCGCAATTAGCCCTAGAATCTTAGGAAAGTGCTTCTCGTCCTGCGCCACGACTCCACATCCGTTGTCAGCTGAGCCAACGGCAAGTCTCAGATCTGCTGAGGCAATTCTTGTTTCTTCCAGCGGATTTTGCCCAGATTGTCGTGCCGGGCAGTCTTGCAGCTTCCCTCACCTTCGGGCAACTCGCGGCCTGAAGCTTCCGCTTCAGGGTGGCTTAAACTTCAACTGTAACTCTGACAGAGAGGTGCACTGGTCGAATTGGAAGTGCCACGGATCCTGGGCCCTGTCGGCCGATATCTCAAAGCCCTTGTAGGGCCCGAGCCGCTCAGAACATGCCGCGATGGTCTGGCAGAGTGCGTTTTGGTCGTAGTGGCAGCAGGACGCAGTGGACCGGCTCCCAGTGGCGCAGAAGAGGGGCGCTTATCTGTTGCCCCTGGGCTGCCTGCCGACAGCTGAACTTGAAGCTACGAGCCACAAGGTCCATCAGCGGCTACAGCACAAACTCATCGAAGGCATAGTCTGCGAAGCCCCACTTGTCATCCAAGCCTGTCAAGAGATTGACTCTGATGCACATGTTCGTTCAGTCCGGTCAAGTGAAAACTGAAACCGAGTGAGCTCCTGAAGGAATTGTTGCACGACTCCAAAACTCCGCGCCCACGCTATGCCCAAGGCGCTTTACCGAGAGTTTCCCAACACTGCTCGCTCGATCGCCCTGCTGCAACCAGCTTGAGCTAAGTGGCCAATCTCTGTCTGCATCGGACGAAATGGGTTGGCACAAACCTCCTTGAAGTTGTGGTCCGTGATGACCCATCTGGTGCTGGCACGGACCCGATTGATGCCTGCGGTATCGAGGAAGTGTTTCGGCTCTCGAGCAGGCAAGGCTTCACGACTACCGGTCCATTCCCCATTTCAGGGTTAAGACTACCAGGACATCCTCCCACTGTGATCTAGGGACTAAAGCAGAGGGATGATAGGCTCCTGCTGTATATGGTCGAAAAGAGAGCGGCGAAGAATCTCGAAGCTCGGAGGAGAACCAAGACACCAAGCACCTTTAGCAGTTAAGGTTGCATAGGGAGCGGTGTTTGGGATTTGCAGAAAGCAGATGTCAATCGGATGTAACTCGTGCCCGTCCAAGTCATAAACCCCACGTCGAACAACGCAACCAGACAAAGACTACTTTGCTGATATTTGGACTCGCGCCAACCCGGGTCAAGCTGCGCCGATGGTTCTGATGGACCGTCACGCACGGGGGCTGCAGCACAACCTGCAAAGCAACTCCCAAAGCATCTAAGCTCGCAGCTTGGATTGGAATTATGCCACGATGTGTGGAAAAGTCGCCTGCCGTACGCCAGCAGCACGCAGTCTACAGTGAATCAGGTCATCGGTCTGCCAGTTCTGCGCCACCTGCACCAATGCTGTGAACATCTGTTGGAAAGCGGATCGACCCTCACACCTGGTTTCCACAGCAATGTCGGGTCAAAAGAGAAGCTGGCGCAACACAAGAGTAAGATACAGTACTCTGCCGTCTTCATGCCCTGGTATGCTTCCGGACGTCCGGAGTCATCCCAACCGTCCCACCATGCCTCCGGATACCCATGGACGGCCAGGACCCAGCGTCTACTTGTAAGCACAAAGTCCCCGCTGCCGGGCCAGTAGAAAGGTCGGTGCTCGAATTCGCCTTGGGCGACGTCTTGTCCTGACTCCATGCACACCATGGCGTCGTCCTCGGTTCTGCCAGGCCGAAACGTGAGAGCTAGCTTTCATAGGCTCGCCTCTCTGCCACAACGCTTTTGCACCACTCTTCGGCAACCGTATTGTGAACCCCTTGGCTTCAGCGATTTGCGGGCCAAGGCTCTGGATACTTTTCTCTCAAGTCTGCCAACTCCAAGTTCATGTTGTTGACCAAGTCCTGCAAGTCTCTGGCACCTACATGCTCAAGGTACCCAAAGCCTCAGGCGCTTTTATTCACTTTGTGCCCTTACGCCGTCACCTCCCGCGAGAAGAGCCAATCGAGCAACTCGTTCGCCGTCATGCCCTCTGTCTCGGGACATGTCACATCATACTCCATGTAGGCAGCACGATAGACCACATCGGGCTGCAGCTCTCTCCTGGCGATAAACATCACCTGGACGAGTTTTCGCGCTCCGAGTAACGGTGTGCTTCGCATGGCTATCTCGTAGCTGCCCCAGTGTCTCACATAGCTACTAATTCGGCCCAAGTCGCGGTAAACGGACTGAGAATGTTGTCTATGTTCGTCTTGAGAATAAACTGTCCACGAGCGCGTCGGAATGCTATGTTTTCTGCCGTATGCTCGAAAATCGGATGCGCCTGCATCAATATGATTCTTCAACCATGTCTTGATCGCACTCTACAACTGTGTGGCACCCTTTCTTCCCCCTGCCTTGTGATGAGGCATAGACATGTGAATCGATGTGGGCACATGGATCACGCGGATGGGCACGCTCTCTCCACCGGGCTCGCGCGTGATGGCTTCCCGCATGTGGGGCTCGTGCAGCGGCGGATTCCATTCCTGGGCGTAGGACAAAAACAGACTGCCTATCATCATGTTTCCTTCATGTTTCATCCATGTACCAACTGCCCTACGGCAGAAGGATTGCGTTCGGCAGATTGCGAACCTAGCGACCACGACAATGATCTCAGCTGGCACTTGAGCTGAGTGGAGCATTGTCGCAGTTGTTGCCAACATTCGGTTCAAGCGAAGGAGCATGTTGCCTGCCGGGCAGATCTTTTTCAGCCACTTTCCCGCTACCAGGCCCAGAATGTCTGTGGCAGGCAACGCTTGCCTCCGTAGTCGTCGTTTCGGCACTGGACGATCACAGTGAGATAGATATCCTCCTCGATAGGTGAATGTGGTCATGGACTTCATGGACTTCAAGCCACAACCACCTATTGGATGTCCGGGATACATCCTTTCGGCAATCGAAAGAAGTTTCAGAGATATGAGAGGGTCTCAACCCTGCGACACGAAAGTGTCTGTTCATGGGGCCTTGGCGGCCTTGGTCTTGGTTTTGACAGCGCCAAATGAACAACCCTGCGTGAAAATGTAAACGTAAGGTGATATTCTCCATCAGTCCACAAGGATGCGTCCATAATCTGATTTGATATGAATGAAAAAGTCTGTAGAGATTGAGATGCGCATAAATACTTGTAAACAAATCAAAGGGGAAGGAAGGTACTTAAACCCGGCCGAACC